AAACAGCTACAACAATCACCGAGCTCGCCAATACCAAAAGCACAAACGGAAAAGTCCTTTGAAGGTGAGCGTCTATAGAAAAGTAACACCTACACAAATTCACTAAGAAAAACGGCCTCCTACTCGGTAAAAAGAACAATTGATGTTGTGCGGAGTCTCCCACGGCTGGTCTTTAGATCTCAGCTGGCTCTAGAGCAGGTTTGTGTCCATTCACCCCTCTTCGACAAACCTCATCTGAATTTTGTGGGCGTAACTTGACAGCTTGCTTTATGGTGTATTGTCATATGCCTGACCAGTTTGGAGAGGCATTCCTTTCCTAGAGCAGATTTGTAAATTGTCCTGTTTTCCCGTTTCTTTCTTTTTCTTTCCTTCTAGATAGATAGATAGATACTGTATAGATACTGTAGATAGATAGATGTTTTCAAATATGCCTAGAAAGTAAACTGCAATACTATCAAAGTATAATAAACGACCCATATTTACTCAATTAGTGAGTACAGTTATATCATAAAGCCTTTAGTTGTGTGTGCTGATCTCATGGACAACTTGATGAGTAATAGAGAACAATGAAACCAACATGACAAACAATGCAAAGGCTGATGCAGAAGGATGTCAATCTATGTCTCCTCAATGTGCAGGAGTCATTTGACCCCAGGAGACCCCGAGCACATGCAAGAAAGAAAGCTCTTGAATTCAGTGGCTGCCATGTGTGGGTGTCCATTACATTGAGACCATCATTCCCAGCAGGGACAGCCAGATCCCAGCTGCCAATGGGCATTCGGCGGGCCCGGCACGCTCTGCCAAAGCGGGCCACTTCTGCACAGTGTGCAAACATTTTTGCATCTGTAGGCGTACAACAAAAGACACATGCATCTGAAGAAGTTTCCTTCTTTCGTTTGTGGGGGAGGACACAAGAATCCCTGAAAATGTGAAGCATTCAGATGTGGCAATCAGTGGCTAAGATTGTCGCTGTTCTGTGAAGACTTGAGCGCTTTTGTGTCGAGCCTGGCTTCTTTCTCGAGCTGTCACGCGGCCACAGTTACAGTGAAGTCTATATCATAGCAGTTGCTGATGGGGTGGATTTATTTGCCAAGCATTATGCACGTGCATATCCATGCATCTACAAGATCTCGATCTCAAAAGCAAATTCTTCTCGCCTTGAAGAAGGAAGCTGATTCCCTTCGCAATTAATACAGCCTGCAGAAACAGGAGCAGGTTCATTACCTCCTCATTATGGATGTTCAGGCTCAGAACCAAGACATTGTTTAAAGGGCTTCCCCCATTAACAGCGACTGACACGTCCCTGTAATCAGTCTGGCCACGGTCTGTCACATTACTCGCTGTAGTCTTTATTCACGGGGCAAGGAAAGCACCGGCGCGCCTGACAAACACGCAAAGCTGTCCGGCACTAAACGTCTGCGGGTGATAATGTAACTGTGGCGTGTTGCTGGCCCTGCCTCGCTATTGAGCGTTTGGGGTGATTTGCGGGGACGCACTCCAGTCAATATCTACTGAGATGTCATTATGACGACACGACCTCTTTACTAATTGCCCGCTTGAGCGACAGCGGCGATAAAAGATTCAGAGCGGACCGTGTGGACTAGAGGGGACCTCAGACAGGTTACGGATGCATGGGGCCCTCATTAAATCATTAGCCACAAAGCCCATTAACAGCCCTGAAAGTGTCCGCTCAGTTTAGGCATGTGACAAGAGTGGGGGCAGTATAAAAAAAAAAGTTAGCCTAATAAGACTTTTAGCTTTCTATGTATTTTTTTCTGCGTATTTTTTCATTTATAAAAGGCTTCTGAAGCTCTATACACCATAGCATCTCAGTTATAGTATCCTTCCACCATAGAGTCAGTGACAAGTGTATGCAGTGGCAACAGATGGCTCCATTTCTAATTCATTCAGTAATTATGACACTCCGATGGTGTTTTGAGATCACAAACTGTTCTCAAGCTATGCTTATGATGACAGCAACACCTTCTCAAAAATAACCAGAGCTTGCAAGGGTGGCGCTAAAAATATATACGTGATTGATGGACAACAGGGTGCTTTGGGGATTTTCATTGTACTATCAAATCTGGGGGTGTGAACTGAGGTTTCCTGTGTGCGGGACGATTCAGACGCCCTTGCAAGCTCCTGTCATGTTTGAAGAACAACAAAACAAAAAAACAACAAAAAAAAATGCTGAAATTATTTCTGAATTGCTAATGAGCTGATCTTCAAAAATGACCCTAAATAACACTCCTCTGTTTATTATATTTTAAATGCAATTATTACAATTGTCATTGGTATTAAACACACTCTCTGACAATAAGCAATAACACATTTCTTAGAGGATTCTAGCAGGTTTGCATTTGAAAATTTCTCATAATAATGATTTCAACACTGATTTTACAAAAGTGAAAGTTGCAAATGGAGGTAAACGAATGACATATTTGGGATTGCCATCTGGGTATGGGGTTGTCAAGGTGATATATATGATTTATTTTATATTTAATGTTATATTTGGATACAATTTTAATTATGAAATTAGATGAACAAGACAAAAAACATTCCTTCTGCAATTTTAGCATGACTGAAAATGGTAAATGTAAAGCATATGATATAAAGTGTGAAGAGTAAAGGCTGATTTGATTTGGATCTTTTTTTCTACTTCAGAAACAATAAAAATAGAAATTGTGCTTAGTTCAATTTTTTGTTATAACATTTTTTATAATATTTTTTGTTCTTTACGATACTTGAGATACCTATGCTAATGAGGTTATTTAGCCTACACCTTCCGTTATTCATCTAACAGAGTAACAGTATAAAAAGGAGAGCTAGGGCCTATTTTTTGTCAGTGAAGTGTCAGTCCGCGGTAAAGGGACATATACTGCCCCCTGTCCATATGATAGGCTATGACATAACCCACGCAAGTCGCGATAAACTGTTTATTTATATTTACAGTTACAAGCCTAAAAATATATTATATATTAATTTAACAATATTTTAAATTAATAGCCAGCTTTATGATATAGTTTTAACTAGCCTAGCTGTTTACACACACTCAAATAAAAACACCCTTGTAGATTTACGCATAGGCTATAGGCCTATTCAAAATTTCAAATCTCGCTCAGTTCCATTGTTATATCATTTGTAATCCCACCGGGCTTTTCATGTTCGGGTTTAAGCCTAAATGTTCACAAAACGTTACAAGGTGTAAGGAAATTTAAACGGATTTGTTGACATTTGCTTCTATCCACTTATCTCGAAGAAATGATGTTTGCTTCAGATAATAAGCATTGAAAAAGCCTATTAAAATAGTAACCTATATGGTGTTGAAAAAGCCTATTAAAATAGTAACCTATATGGTGTTGAAAAAGCCTATTAAAATAGTAACCTATATGGTGTTGAAAAGTTTACACGTGAGACAGTCAACCCGGCCGTCTCCATGCTGTGTGGGATGTCGGAAGTTCAATGGAAGAGTTTTTCCAGAGATGAACATATGCCCTGAAAACGCACATACACACACGAGCGATCATTCCAACAGTCATAACTCAGACAGAAGTCGAGTAACCACGGCATGTGTGATAGCTAATTGAGACGCAGACACTGACTCCGCGCGAGGACTTCAATCCACTGAGCGCGCGCGCGGCAAACATTTCTATTGAACATTGAAAGATGTCATGAGTGATTGCTAATTTTCTCTGCTTTGGTGTTATGTGGATTTCTTCAGGGCAGATATGAGCTTATAAAAATTATAATATTAGTTATAATTAGGTAATATTATGTGACATTTTTGGCCATCTACGTGATGCACATACGTCATAGCATTCTAAAGATAATTTTAGGTGAAAGGCTGTTAATACGGATCATCTATCCAGTAGCTGCATAAGTCCTATATTTACACATAGGCCCACATGAAGCTCAAATCACTCAAAAAAGTTAGCTGTAATTTTTGTGCATGTTAATATGGATTGATTCTGTAATAGAGTAGCCTAAAATCATTGGCTGAAATTCCGACCTCAGCTCCCTCCTCCCCCGTATGTCTTAGTAAGTGCAGTTTCTAAACCCACGGGGGGAATTCACTTCTATCATCTTTTTTATTTGGTCGCATCTTTAAACCTCACAGCGGAAAGCATTTCTATTTACGTATACAGGCATTTACATTTGGAAAGTTTTAGTTTCTTGCGTTTAAGTGTTGGAGCAAGAGTTGGATTAATTGAAGTATAGGCACATTCAATGTTTAGGTCTAGCCTATGATAGGAAAAACAAAGCAGTGAACAAAACGGTCTGAGCTAGGAATTCCCATGCGGTTATAATTATGCTGTTTTTAATATCAAATGCGCCGTGAACGCTCAAACACCAGCAGTATAGACAGCAAAACAAAAATATATCAACTTTTGTTGAACTATTATAATAAATTTACTTTCCAGCACTCTAATTATAGAACACCATTACTAAAAACGTTTCCCTCTTTCCAAAAACATGGGGTCTATTTAAATAGCGCACTTTCCGACCGTGCCATTGAAGCAAAGGTAGAAATTCCGTGATTGTGTCTCTCATTTGATTGTGGTTTTCTGCCGCTTGTTGAGCCGCATCTCTTTGCTCGGCAACACTCGCGAGTTTCCGATACTCAATTTCCGGAATATGCTCCATAAATGGACGAAGGGGTGTATCTGTTTGCCGGATAAAACCATTTATGGTGTGAAAATGAACCGGAATTCCTGATTGAGAATGATGCGTTGTATCAAAACGGAAGATTTTTGTTCCACTTAGGATTCGTTATCTTTCAGCGAGCGTATGCCTTTAGCCTATTTATGTTATTTTCTTTTATCTAAAAATATTTTCAAACAATATGCAATATACTTTGTTTTTTGTTTGTCTCCGAGCACATTGCTTTTTATGCATGAGCGGCTGTACAGAGAAGATTCTCCATTGACAAGTATTACCTCAACGCGTCACGCAGTCTATAACCAATCAGATCGCGCAGCGCTACTTTTCTTTTGCCATTCAGTCCTTAAATGGTCAGTGACGTAGTGACACATTGATAGGCTCACCATAAATACATACTACCACTAGAAGCTCCGCAAGGATCTGTCATTCAACAACACAGAGCCGTCAGATGGCATCACAGTGAACGCTAAACAACCCGTTTACTGACAGCTTTCCACATGTAACGTTTTGAGCGAGCGTTCGCACAGGCACAAAACACTTTGTGAACATCAGAACGAGTGCTTCTTAGGACTTCATGATGACAGCTAAAACTTTGGAGAAAGCCCCCGTAACTCTGGGTGGCTTTGTGCACCCGCTTGCCGAAAGCATCTACTCAGTGGACGAGCTTGCCACATCACTGCCAGCATCTGTGACTATATTTCCAAACGGTGATTTAGGAGGACATTACGAGCAGATGCACTCTGGAGGTAAGAATGATGCGCGCATCTCGACTGCTTCCATCCTCACGTGCTCTCTGTGTGTGTTGATATACCGTTCGCATCTATAGGGTATTCAGTGGGAATGAAAACGTGGTTATTTTGTATGGGAAATCCAACTTGCTTCAACTGGAAACATACAATGTGCTTATGTTTGACTGGTTAAAAAAAGAAAACGGGGACAGAAATTATTGCAAACAACGATGCTATGCCTAATGATGATTTTACAGTGAGCATCTTTTTACTGATGTGTGCGTAAAAGCTACGAGCTTTGCATCTGATGGTTGCATGATCCATAAGACAGCCTTCTTTCACGTGTATCTAAACCTTGCTTTTATGTTCATTTTCTTGCAGATGGCTTGCTTAGCGGGGATATGAGCACGGATAAGCGCTCCCTCGACTTATCCTATTCCAGCAGCTTCGCGCAACCAACTGGCCCTCGCAACCAAACTTTCACCTACATGGGAAAGTTTTCCATAGACTCCCAGTACCCAGGAAACTGGAACCCAGAGGGCGTGATAAACATCGTGAGCGCGGGGATCCTGGGCATGACCCAGCCATCCTCAGCATCCTCGTCACCAGCCTCCTCAGTGTCCCCCGGCCACTTCTCCAGCACTCTCAGCTGCACCATGGCGCAGAACCAGGCAGACATGGAGCACATATACTCTCCCCCGCCACCCTACTCTGGATGCGGAGAGATGTATCAAGACCCATCCGCATTCCTCTCCACCTCCACCTGTCCGATCTCCTATCCTCCGCCATCCTACTCATCCCCAAAGCCAAACACAGACTCCGGGCTGTTCCCCATCATCCCGGACTACGCCGGCTTTTTCCAACCCCCGTGCCAGAGGGACATGCAGTCGATGCCCGACCGCAAACCGTTCTCATGCCCGCTGGACTCTTTCAGAGTCCCGCCCCCTTTAACCCCCCTGAACACTATCAGGAACTTCACACTGGCGGGCCCGGTATCTGATGGACCCCGGCTACCCACAGCCTACAGCCCGCAGAATTTGCCCCTCAGGCCCATCCTGCGCCCGAGGAAGTACCCCAACAGACCCAGCAAGACGCCCGTGCACGAGCGTCCCTACCCCTGCCCGGCGGAGGGCTGCGACAGGCGCTTCTCCCGGTCCGACGAGCTCACTAGACACATCCGCATCCACACCGGCCACAAACCATTCCAGTGTCGGATATGCATGAGGAACTTTAGTCGCAGCGACCACCTGACGACCCACATCCGCACGCACACCGGAGAGAAACCGTTCGCATGCGACTTTTGCGGGAGAAAGTTCGCGCGGAGCGACGAGAGAAAGAGACACACCAAAATCCACCTGCGACAGAAGGAGAGAAAATCCTCCTCTTCGTCCTCTGGTGTGTCCAGCTCAGAGCGCGGCGTCGCCACGGGCATCTGCTCGTCCGCTTCAAGCCAGTAAACTTTCAACTGGACTGTGCAATATCCAACACTATGTAGGCAATATAATAATAATGCACCATTCGTAATATATTAAAACTGGGTGAAGTGATGTTGTGAAATCAAGTGCCAAATCGATATGGACACATTTATTGTGCGCACTTTTAAAGGTGGTGCGATGTTCGTTTTCCTTTTGCCTCAGTCGCATGCTGACTGACCAAACGCACTTTGTTTGAATATATATTTAGGCCAATTAATTAATTTAATAATAATAAAATAACCTAGATAGCACGTGGGAGAATTGTGTCTTAGATAAAAAGTGGAAAGTTGAGAGGTTGCATTTAAAAAAAAAGAAAAAAGTTAATTTAAACTAAACTTTCAGAGGTGTCAAAAGGTGTCTAACATCACTATTTTCTCCCATTGTCGTGCCTTTTGTCCGTTCATCTTGTACATACACCAGAAGGCTTGAATTAAATTGTACATTATCCTTTAATATGAAAGTTTTTGAAGATATATTTTTGTACACACTGTTTCGTGTTGCAATTGTGCTTAAACAAGAATTGTATATAGCTGAACTCATAGCGATTTGACGTTTGTTCTGTGGTTGTTCTGACTGATATAAATGTATTTGTTATGAAGTGACTAACGCAGGTCAATAATGTCCTACTTTGTCAACATGGAAATAATAAACAACACCTGAATTGTGAACTTTTGTTTAACTGTCTGATTTGTATTAGAGATAAAGTAGTGTAAAAGGAAAAAGTGAAGTAGACTTGTAGGGACATTCCCGTTTTGGCACCATTGAGCTCTGACTCATGGTCCCATAAGGGTCAGCACCCACACACACACTGTGTTGTTTACAAGTGCACAAAGGGTGTGAATATTTACAATCCTTAATTTTCAATACAGGGTAATGTTTAAGGTGGACAAAATGACTCACTTGTGATTTATGAATCTATGGATTTGACACAACACAATATGTTATGACCACTCTTTTCATGAGTCTATGGTATGAAAATTGAGAAACGACACTGAAAATGACAAATAATTGTTGCCACTGTATGAACCTCTGTGGTTGTATGTGGTTGAAGGTGTACCAACCCCCACATTTAGGGCTGGGACAACCCCATATTTACATGATTACAATATTTACAATGTTCTAACTAAAAGGATGAGAGGCTTATTAAACTAAACTGCATTTATATAAGTGAATAATTGAAACCATCAACGATACACTGAAAATTTTACTTTATTAATGTTGTATTCTAGAAAAACAGGGATAGTTCACTTCAAAATGAAAATTCTGTCATCATTTACTCACCCTCATGTTGTTCCAAACCTGAATGCTTTTCTTTCTTCTGTTGAACACAAAAACATGATATTTTAAAGAATGTCGGTAACCAGACAGTTGATGGTAGCCTTTGACTTCCATAGTAGGACAATTTAATAATATGGAAGTCAAAGGCTACTGTCAATTCTTTAAAATATCATGTTTTGTGTTCAACAGAAGAAAGAAACTCATACAGGTTTGGAACAACTTGAGGGTGAGTAAATGACAGAATCTTCATTTTTAGGCGAACTATTCCTTTATATGGTAATTGATATATAGATTTAATCAACTGCACTTAACAAACAAACAGCACTGAACATAAGCTGAGCTTAACAAAGGACCATCTGATTACTTTCTGTTCAGTTCACATGAGCCAGGTCAATAAAAAGAAAGCCCTTAAAGGAATAGTTCACTTCAAAATGAAAAATCTGTCATACTCATCCTCAAGTTGTTTCAAACCTTATGAATTTCTTTCTTCAGCTGAACACAAAAGAAGATTTTTTGAAGACTGTTGGTAACCAGACAGTGGATGGACCCCATTGACTTCCATAGTAGGAAAAAAATACTATTGAAGTCAATGGGGTCCATCAACTGTTACTGACATTCTTCAAAATATCTTCTTTTGTGTTCAGCGGAAGAAAGAAATTCATTTGGTTTAAAACAACTTGAGGGTGAGTTAATGATGACAGAATTTTCATTTTGAAGTGAACTATTCCTTTAAGGGATGCAGGAAAGGACAATGTCTAACATAATGATTTAAGAATTATGAAAACAAATGATTACTTTTAGGCCCGAGACACAAGCCTGTCTCGTACGTTAATGTGACAGACAATGTGTGGGAAACATGACGCCACATTAGACATTAATATGTCTGCTAACATTCACACTGAAAGTCTGACTTAAAAACAGATTTCACTCAAATACGCGACACAACCTATTCCAAATTTACAGAATCGTTATCATTAGTGATAACAAAACTATAAGCAAAGCAAATTGTCCACGCATTAAGATGAGAAGATAAGAATTGTTTAGCTTCCCACTTTCCTCTCTTCACCTAATTCATGTTTTTCGTATGCAGTGGAAAAACGGCTATGAAGGGTCAAGTTAATTATTATGTTTAATTAAACTTAGATATGCAAATGGACAATAACAGTGCAATTTTTTATAGCACTACTTTCAAGTATGAGTGCAACAGTGGCAACTTTAATTAATACACAAATAATTAAGTCAACAATAATAATGTAGAATAACCTTGCTTGCACATGATGCACACAAAATGCTGACAAAGCCAAAATGAAAATGATTTACAATCATTTTAATAGTACTTCAACAGTAAAAATATAAACAGTACATAATAATTAGTGTTTGTGTACAGTCTTCTTAAATAAATTAAACAAGTATTTAATGTAGATATATAGTGTGCACGTATACAAGAGTAAATGCTTTTCAATGTATACATTCATTATTCACAAGCAAGGCCACAAAAGAGTTGATGTAGCCTATGGGGCGCATAGGCTTGGACTGGGCATTTAAAATCATGTAGTGGTGTTTCCAGTCCCAAGAAAAATACTAAATTTTTACACATCTGAGTTGGAGCGAAGACGGATCATGTGCAGAGGCTACCGGTCCATTCCACTGTTCATCTCTACACTGAAACTTTAGGACCGGGGTAAGGCTCCCCCCCGCACCAGAAATCATCCGGTTGGGGGATCTCTAAAACCCAAGTTTCATCTTCACCGCTCTGCTCTGACTTTTTGCCAGCAGTTTGTAAAACTTTGTAGTAGTGACAATCTCTCCCATCATCAGGGTCATAAGGTGGTGCCAATATATCAAGAAACGCAGCTGGTCCATCCACTGCATCAATCTCATGAAGGTTGTCTTTGAGAGGGGACAAGATGCAAGGGCCGCTCTGCTCAGAAAACTGCCCGGAAGACCTCAGCACGGCTCTCCTCACATCATCCCCCTGGAAAGGCATCGGCGGTGGCTCAAACTGCCTCTCAGTTTCACTCTCAGCACCCACAGCTTTATCCAACTTGTCATAACACCTTATATTGACCTTGCCGTATAGGACCTTCAGCATGCCATTCATCCCAGGATGGTCATGCAGGGGGATGGAAGTCCCAGACTTCAGCAGAAACACTCCCATGCTGAAGAGATCAGTCTCACAGATGTGCATGTATGTGACTGGAGGGACTGCTGAGGACTGTGGGGAGGATATGGAGACTTGCTTCGGTGGCGCAATGTTCAGATCCGCAGCCCTTATGTCGGAGAGCAGGGAAACCAACCCTGCCTGCTGCTCTAAAAACACGTTATTGTCCCCAATGGCAGAGGAAGAGTTTGCAAAGGTCACACAAGCCTGGCTCGCTATCTTCTGGATCAGCGCCGACTTGTTCCCCGGCATGTTTAATAGAAAACAATCGAAACCGTGATTTGCTTCGAGCCACGCGATGAAAACAAAAGAGCTGTTACGCCGGACGAGATTGACTCACGTGAAGCATTTAATGCAGTCGAGTGTATTCGTGTTAAAAGTTACGATGAAAATAACTCCATTGAGGTACAAACATTAATTTTAGCATCTGGATAAAATCCACAGACCCTCGTCTCCACCACCCCATTCATGGCTATTAAATCCACACGTCCTCAACTACTGCGCATGCGCAGAATACACGGGTAGCATAATGGAACTTGTAGTTGTTTTGCGCGTATGGGTTGAAAATAAATCCTTAGAATAGCAGATAAATATGCAGACCGATTCAGACAGGCCATGTCAATATTATCGGACACTGCAGTAAATATGTTTTTTTGTAAACATGCCGTCAGTTTTAATAATTGCACAATTTATCTCAGTGATAGAACTACAACACCCAACAACCTCCACATTGTTGACCCTCTCTTGTGAGTATGAGGGGTGGGGAGGCCCGTTGGGCCATTCAACTCTGTCCCTTCCCCCACAGCCACCCTGGACTACAACAACACATCACCACCCTATCAACATCATCAATGTCATTTATTAACCACACAGGCTTGATCTCTGGAGTAAATTCCTAGTGAAACAAACGCAACAGTGTATATGCAAGCCATATTTATTTATCAAAACGACATGAACGCCTAACACTTTAAATGTTTTAAATTGAAAAAAGAAAGAAAAAATGTTGACTAAATAAATAATAGGCCTAGTTTAAAAAATAACAATGTTTACATCATTGAGTGTTAAATCTCATACACAGCACCTTTGTGAAAAATAAGTGAGCTTAATTGTATTGAATGTGCACTGGTATTGTTCTTCAAATGTTCAAATTATATTTAAAAAATAAAGAAAGAAATAAAAAATAAAAAGAAAGTTACTTAAGTGTAGGCTAAGAGTGTACACTTTCAAGATTAGTAGTCTTACCACACTTATGAATCAAATGAAACGTTTCATTTTAAAATCATTATTTTTTAATAATCTTTTGTTTAAAGAACTTAAAAAAGTAAACTTATTTTGATGTGTTGAGTGACATTCGATTACAAATGACAAATTAGTAATTACAAATATAGGCCTATCTAAATACACAACACAAGTTTGAATAGAAATTACATTAAAGTATATTTTAGTTTACCGTATGCTAGTCACATTTGGTATCATTTCTGCTACAAAGTAATTATGAAATGACATAGATCTACTTAAGTCCTACAAAAAACATTCATGTAAGTTCATGTAACTGCATTTTATAAACTATTTTATTTTAATTGTATAAGATGTATT